TTCTGAGCGCTATTTTCTGAGCGATTTTGTGGAAAACTCCTTTTGTGTAAACTCCTTCTGAGCGCAGTTTTTGTGCAAACTTTTTTGAAAAGTCGCCTTTTGGAAACTCTTTTAAGTCGTTTTTTGAACTGGCTAAGTGTGGGCCCGGAATGACTACTCGGGCACGTACGTTCCCTCGTTTTTTTTCGGGTTTTTCGATTCACATGAATCAGCGGCTCTCGCTTCGGATATCCGCCGGGATAAGGAAGTTATATTTAGGATAAGCCCAGAGCACCCGGTGGGTTCTTCAATTCATGATGACGACGGGAACAGCGGACGTGAAACGGGGATCAGCAGAGAAGAACGTCGTGCGAGACATCCACGGTACTTGGTAGTACACGACGACCACATGCAGACGCGGGTAAGGTACGGACCCGACGACGGGGGTTGGCGGGGGAGAGGGAGACTGAGCAGGAGTTAGCAACTAGGAACGAGGGGAACAACGGCGGGACGGACGAACAGCGAAGTTAGAATAGGTACTTATACGAGGGAGCACGTCTTAGGCTCCCTCTTTTTGGCACGCGAACTCGCTAGAGTTCACTCTCCTGATGATCCTGCGGTGGGCAGGTGAAAACGGTAGAGGGATCCACCAGTGCTTGCTATGGCGGTGAACGAGGCGAGAGGAATGGTTTTCTCGGCTTTGTGCAATATGACTTCGCTCGTTTGATGCAGTTTGTGCTGTGTTGAAAAGAAATCTTCCTCTTCGTTTTGCATTAAGCTGGGTCTATCTACTTATGCGTCCTCTGTCCTGCATAGGTTGTGAAGCCGCAGTTTGCCTCAACCAGGAGCAGTTCTTTGAGCTTACTAGGTAGCTACGTCAACAAGCGCTTGGATAAGAACTAACGGGCGACCATCACGTGACGGAGAGGTGTAGTCGGACGCATCGCGCATAGCGAAGTAACAAGGTAGGATGTGGAAGTGAAACAGTATCAGATCCATACTATATGGGATCGGGTGCGTAATCATCGGTGTGGGGTTTCTAGTAATAGGCACAACATTCTAACTAGCGACTGCAGGACCGGGAATACGCCCGTTTTCTATTCTGGAACCTGACGGGATACCGTAGTACGATGCTGATGTGAAGTATTATCAAGATCATTAAGCATGAGCTCAAACACTTGAACTTCGCAGGTGGATGTCGCAGGACAGTATCTGTTTTTCTTTTCCGGAACCTAACGGGATACCGTAGTACGATGCTGATGTGAAGTGGTATCAAGATTAATAAGTATGAGCTCGAACACGTGAACTTGGCGGGAAGAGGTCGGAGGACAGTATCTGCTTTCTAGCCACTCCAAGATGCAATCTAGATGTGTAATCTGTCGGGGCAGGAGAGTTAGGATTTCTAGGAGAAGGCGGGCCTCATTCAATAGCCGACTCAGGTGGTTTTTGAATAGCTACATTAGGACCGCGATCAAGCCGATGTTCCTACTGGCCGAATGCGTAGAGGACATGTACGCGAGAAACAAGCTATACGATATGCTGATGAAACATCTGATTCTGATTGAGAGCACTATGTTGGTTCTGAGGGATGAGGGGAACACTGACTATGGTGAGATAATGAAACTCTGGAGGAATTAGAGTATGATAAAGACGGACGGGTGCTACAGCTAACAAAGACGGAACGATCGGGAAAATTACAGAGGGTAAAGATAAGGGAGGACTCGGACGAGGGACATTGTTAAAGGGGTAGGTCGCTACTAGTAAGGGCTGATTCTGACTTACAGAGAAGCAGGGGTACTTTGATCGTACCGTACAAACAGGATGTATCTGACAACGGGTTCCGCGAACGGGAATGGAGGGACCCTCGGTGGTACGAGCAACTACGAGGGCAATAACCTGGGTATTGCCGCCCAGGGAAACTTCGGTGGAGGAGGATACGGGGGCACAGGCGGTTCGGGGAAGACCTGCTACAACTGTGGAAAGGTGGGGCATTTCGCGAGAGACTGTTGGAGCGGAAGGGGGAGACAACACCAACAGAACTCGCTAGATCCTGAAATCGAAGAGATGAAGGAGCAGTTCAGGCTGGCAAGGAAGGAAAGACAAGAACAAGAAGAAAGGAAGAGAATTGAGGAGGAAAAGAAGGCAAAAGAGGCGGAAGAGAGACGGAGGAATCAGGACTTCGCGAGGAAGATGGAAGAGCTGAAGCTACAACTACGTATAGACCTTAATGAAGAATGGAGAAAGAGGAATCAGGCCGCAGAGGAGGCGGTAAACGACACTAGGAGGGAAGGGTCGAGCAACAAGAACAGGAGGGGAAAGAGAGGTCGTCGGAAGGTGCGGAAGGTAAAGAAGAAACACCAGTCTGATGCAAGCGACGAATGGACCACGGAGACAGAATCGGACTCGAGTAGTACAGATACCGTTAGCGACTTGGACGAGGACTTCAAGCGGACGAAATCCAGGAAGCGAGGAGGAAAGGGGAAGACAAGGACAGAGGGAAGGAAAGGGAAGATGCCGGCACCGGCAAAGGAGGACACCCCAATCGCGCATGAGAGAGGGGAGTGCTCAAGAAGAGCGTCGATGGAAGGGAGGGGGGGCGAGAACCGAGAAGAATCGGCGAAGGGAGAAGAGGGGAGGATTAGGGATGCGGAACCTAGAACTCCGCTGACGGACGGCTATAAGGGACTCTCGGCAGGCTGCTCGCAACAGGGGCTGATAGAATATTGCCTATCGGCGCACAAGATATATTTGGAAAAGAAGGTTAATGCACTTAGAAGGATATGCGAAAGAAAGGGGATCAAGTACACGATGAAACCCGAAGCGGTAGAAATACTGGCGAGGCAACAGGTACAACTGGCATACGAAGGGTTCGACGCGGCCAAGGAGGGAGAGGACACAAGAGGGAAGGGGAAGGCTCCTGTGACGCCAAGGAAAGAAACAGTAAACGAGAAGATCGTTTTGGAAACGCCATCAATGAGACAGCCAAGAATTATCCTCAAGTCGGCACCGACGGTACTAGGCGATTCAGATTGACGGTGCGCGGCCCCCACTAACGCGCAACTGTGGGACACTTTGTGTAAGTGGATCGCGCAGCGTGTGAAGTGGCGGGGGCAAAGTGTCAGGGGGGACGTAACTAGGAAAATTGAGTCAGTAATCACGAGCACGACCATGTTACTAACGATGCGTGGCCAGATCCCGTGGCTTGAGAAGTACGTAATGAGAGCAGAGGGATGGGAGTGCATGCTGGACCTGGACACGGGAGGTGTGTACGCGGTGGTGATCCCTTGGACAAGGAAGGTGTACGTGGGCTGCACGGTTAGACCCATCATACAGAGATGGAGAGAACACTGTAATAACGCTAGGAACGATGCAATAGGACTGATGCCCCATCTATATAGGTGGCTTAGGTCCTTCGGAGTCGATAGGTATCTTGTTATTCCTATTAGACACGCAAGCACGACGGATGACTACGCATACGAAAGGTTTCTGATCTCCATCTTATGCCCAAGCCTGAATACAAGGGAGGTAGGGAAAACGGAAAGGAGAAGACGGAGGTGTCAGAGGAAGGGGAAGCGGGAGAGAAGGGGTAGGGGATGTGCGACGAACGCAAAGAGTGTGGTAACATGTACACACCGTGGTGTAAAGGTGGCGTCTATCATGAAGTGGCTTGATGATCATCGAGAGGATAGGGAGGATCTGGGAAGCGTGACATTCAACAGTGGGGAAGTCTGGATGGACGGATGGCGAAGGATCAGGAATACATACGGGGAAACCACGCTGGAATTCGCAGATGGTGACAGGAAGCTGAAAGCTTCAAAGGGGCTGCTGATGAAGGGTGACACCGTGGTAATCAGGAAAATCGTCAAGGAGAAGACGACTACGGAGAAGAATAGAGCGATCCTACGCAATCTGCTAAGGAGACCGAAGCCAGCGGTTTTTCTGACACGTATGACTGTGAATAAGCTCATTGGCTTATACCGGACAGCGGGCCTGTTCGTGGAAAAGAAAACCAAAGCCTCTCTACGGGTGAAGATAGATACGGCGATGAGAAGAAAGACGGGGGTGAGCATCAGGAAACGCATCGTAATCAGACTCAAGTACGACTCAAGAATCAGAAGGACCAGCGTGCGGAAAGCGGCGGAAGATCTTATCAGTGGAAAGATGACCAACCTTCCACTGGCATCCTTCATTAAGACCAGGATCAGACTGGTCTGGTGTAGGAACAAGACTGTTGGTCAGTTGTTGCACAACCAGAAGAGCTACGCAACCGACGTCGAAATCTGCCATTGCGCAGAAAGTGAGTTACCGAAGGTCGACGGACACGTAAGGACGAGATTCACGGACTTGCAGGATGTACCGAGCTTCGTCAGGAATTTGCGGAATGTAACGGCTTCGGCGGGTATGGTGGACGTGCGAACCATATCGCAGGCCATTCTGACTGCCACGAACCATTTGAAGGGACCAGCAACGACTGTGGACCTACCGGCGGACATTGTTCGCGAAGGAGCTAAGCGAGGACCAGCTTGGACGGAAGAAGAGGTTAGAAGATGGAAGGTGAGGTTTGACGGGCTAGTGCTTATGCCAATAGACCAGAACCAAGGAGATACCGCGGTCATCCGTCCAACCCTGTACCGGCACGCGTTCGGCAAGGTGTTTATGTGGAACAAGAACTACGAAGCAGTGGGCGCAGTAGATCAGGAAGCTGAATTGCTACGCAAGTATAGAGAGGAGTTCACAGACTCAAGACTGGACAGGATGGGTAGCTGGAAGCCAGATGGAAGACTAGGAACCGCATAAGCACAAAGACCTGGAATGGTGGAGGCCCATAGCACCTGCACCAGCTGATCCGGGGGCTCTCACACAGAGAAGGGTGGCAAGAGCACTACATTGACTGCTGGTGCGGCTACCGGCGACGAGCTCCTTCTACCTGAATTCGGTAGCAGAATTAAGCGGACGGATGAAAGCAGCGACGCAGAGACTGAAGAGCGAAGGATGCACGAAGGTAACAGGACGGTGTTACGACATTAAGGAAATGTTTTCCAAGATCCCGCATGAGGCGGTGCTACAGGCAGTCAACCAGTTGCTTCGGAGGTACGAGGACAAGGGATGGCAAACAGTGAAGGTGTCATACAGGGGCAAGCTGTGCACTTTGAGCAAGACGAGGAAGAAGACTGAGGGGTACATCTCAATCAAGTGGAAGGAACTACTAGCGGGGGTGTGTTTTGATCTCCTGCATTCTCTGGTGAGATGCGGAGGCAAGATATTCAGACAAATCTTTGGAATTCCCATGGGAAAAAACACAAGCCCGATACTAGCATCCATCACATGTGCCATGGCAGAGATGCAGTTCCTCAACGCCCTGGGAAGGGATCGGGGCTTGATATTCGGATGGCGTATTATGGATGACATCTCAATTGTGGTAGGACAGACTGACACGTGCCTATCATCGAGGATGTTTGAGGAGTTTGAAGGGATCTATGACAAGCAGCTCGAGGTGGTCAGCAAAGACGACTATGGCCTGACCTGGTCTTTCGTTGGGGGAACGGTATTTCTGTGGAGCGATCCGATCGAACTGCACTATGTACCGCATATGAAGAATACAGAGTCGCTTACAGTTGGGAGAGGGCCGGAATTCCAGACGATGCAGGACTGCGCGTCATATTCAGATAAGAACGTTAAGAAAGCAGTTCTGACGACTGGGCTGAGAAGACTCTGGGAAAAGACAACTAGCAAACCGCTAGTAATGGGAGCAATTGTTCTTGCCATTGTAGAAGCAGACCTCCGGGGCTACCCCCCGGAGGTCTCTCTCGGTGCTTTGGCTCGTTTAGCCAAGGTTGCGGCAGATCTAAGGGTGGACACAATGCGGACGATGTTCGCAACTCTGATGCATAGGGATAAAGGGAAYCTTCCACAGACCAGGTAGGACAGAAACGGGGGKTAGATACARCAAGAAAYSCACCGGACCATTAGGCACGCCGGATGYGTATTATTCAAGCATTGTAGCAATATAGCATGTCTAAACCATAGCTCCGGACCACTAGGCATGCCGGATGTACAATAGCAGGGAGAATAGCTGATAGAAAGGAGGATGAACTAGTACTGATAGTTTGGATCAGATACACGAAGGACCGGATATCTCCGTGGGCTTCTGGAAGCTCGCAAATTTTTTGTTTTCCTTGACTCCCTTCTGAGCGCTATTTTCTGAGCGATTTTGTGGAAAACTCCTTTTGTGTAAACTCCTTCTGAGCGCAGTTTTTGTGCAAACTTTTTTGAAAAGTCGTCTTTTGGAAACTCTTTTAAGTCGTATTTTGAACTGGCTAAGTGTGGGCCCGGAATGACTACTCGAGCACGTACGTGGGTGGGTTTCCCTCGATTTTTTTCGGGTTTTTCGGTTCACATGAATCGGCGGCTCTCGCTTCGGATATCCGCCGGGATAAGGAAGTTATATTTAGGATAAGCCCAGAGCACCCGGTGGGTTCTTCAATTAATGATGACGACGGGAACGACGGATGTGAAACAGGGATCAGCAAAGAAGAAGGTTGTGCGAGACATCCACAGTACTTGGTAGTACACGGCGACCACATGCAGACGCGGGTAAGGTACAGACCCGACGACGGGGGTTGGCGGGGGAGAGGGAGACTGAGCAGGAGTTAGCAACTAGGAGCGAGGGGAACAACGGAGGGACAGACGAACAGCGAAGTTAGAATAGGTACTTATACGAGGGAGCACGGCTTAGGCTCCCTCTTTCTGGCATGCGAACTCGCTAGAGTTCACCCTCCTGATGATCCTGCGGTGGGCAGGTGAAACCGGTAGAGGGATCCACCAGTGCTTGCTATGGCGGTGAACGAGGCGAGAGGAATGGTTTTCTCGGCTTTGTGCAATATGACTTTGCTCGTTTGATGCAGTTTGTGCTGTGTTGAATAGAGATCTTCCTCTTCGTTTTGCATTAAGCTGGGTCTATCTACTTCTGCGTCCTCTGTCCTGCATAGGCTGTGAAGCCGCAGTCTCTCTCTCTCTCTCTCTCTCTCTCTCTCTCTCTCTCTCTCTCTCTCTCTCTCTCTCTCTCTCTCTCTCTCTCTCTCTCTCTGTGCGTCCTTATCGTCTGCTGTTTTTCCTTCCTTTGGAGACATGACCCCCATCCATCTCGCCATGGTTCTTGCGGCCGTCATTCGATGGCTGCGAATGAGGGACCACTTGTGTGTTATGTCCGGCGTCCACTATGATGTTCATGCATGATGTGACGAACATGGTTGCCTTGCACAATGCGACGACAATGGTGTTGGTCCTGGCGTACCACTTGTACGAAGATGATGGTGGGGGCGATGCTTTCAATCCGTTGGGAGGGATCCTACCAAAAGGACGGGTTTGGGTTCGACAAAGAGTGGGCGGGACGTGGGAGGAGCTTAGCATGGAAGGAGTGGGACATGAGAAGAAATTTCGGGAGTACACTCGTCTAACGAAGCCCGTGTTCAACGAAATTTTGCAGCAGATCGCGCCAAGAATACAAAGGATGGACACTCAGTATCGACTGTCGTTGCCAGCATCTTTGAAGTTTGCATTCGCACTTTACCAATGGGCGACCGGAGGCTATTACCGACAGTGTGGTAACGACTTCAGGCTGGTATTGCACAGCGCCATCAGATACACGGACGACGTCGCAAAAGCTATTTGTGTCGAGTACATGCATATGCTGTCTTGGTCGACCGGGGCTCGCCTGCAAGGTACATTGGATTACTATGAGGGGAAAGGATTCCCTGGTTGTTTTGATGTGATTGACTGTACACATATCTATATCGACAAACCACGTGGCGGTGAGGCTGAGCCGTACTTCAACAGGAATAGGCAGTTCTCTGTCGGTGCACCTGGCTAGGTGCACGATTCACGTGTCCTACGGCTGTCTAATCTGTACAACCGTGGGGAGTAGGGGAGGGAGCCTTTCATTCGGAGGACGAACGTGCTCATGGATGGTGTGGTGATGGGACGATATCTGATGGGTGACGCAAGGTATCCTATTTTTCCATGGCTGATGATTCTGTTTGGAGGACCTCACCGAACTGCAGAGGAAAGAGCGTTTGACAACAAGTTTTCCGCCCTCCGCAGTGCTATCGAAAGGTGTTTTGGCCGGTTGAAAGGAATGTGGCGTTGCTTTGGCCGGAAACAGATCGCTAATATGAGGAACGTATGTTACGAGTTCTTCGCTTGTTGCATTCTGCACAACATTATCATAGATGCTGGCATCCCCGTTGACGAGGACTTGCTGCGCAGGGCAGGGAGGGGAGATGACGACGGCGACGGCGGCGGCGACGATGGCCACGCAGGCGATGATGTTGAGGAAGAGGAAGACGATGCGGAGGCTGAGCTACGAAGAGAAGGGTCCTTGTTGTTCGCTAGCCATCGCATTCGTCGAGACGCCGCAACTGCGCTGCGTTCCTCTGTCGTTCGCCATGCTCTCCATGTCTCGAGGGTTTTCCGTGTCGACGGTGGTGCACAGCACTAGTAGGG